TTTGTAGGACAAGCGGGTTTTTTTTTGGACATTTTCACAGTGGCTGTAGGATCTTTTGCTTCGTTAATTAACACTTATTATACGGAGAATGATCAATAGTGAAAATTGCATTGGAATTTTGGAACTATGAGCACAAAAATGCCCAACTGGTTCTGCAAAAGTAATTTTGTAATTGACTGTCTAACTGAGACCTGTCATCAAACTCGTCTAAACAAAGTAAATGCGGTAACAATTCAGCCTGTTGGCAACATTCCAGTGAATTCAATTTTTAAATTGCCACTTACTGTTGTGCCCAACAATTTTTCTCTTTTTTATCAACTTCGAACAGAATATGAACTTTCATTTTGTTGCATATGCTGATAATCTGGGAATGAGACTCAAAAGTGTTCTTTTGGTTCACAATTTTAAAACTTTCGCACAGCTTCTTTTATGAATTTTTGTTTCAAATTATTCTGTTATAACACTGTTAGAAGTGCTCACGTAAAAATATGCTTTTTGTTTTTGCCTGTCTTTTTTTTTTCTTTTTTTTTTTTTTTTCAATATGGTTTTCCAATCCTGCTCTTTTTATCTGCTGCGATCTCAAGGAAACTGTTTATTTTAGCTTTCTTTTCTTGTAGTCCCAAATGCCACAATATTTCTCGAATAGGCACTTTCGACAACAGAACAGATTAAAATGTCAGAAACAGGCCCTAAAGACCTTGAATTGACAAAGACACCGTAGAGGCAATAATTGTTGGTTTATAGTTTTCATACTTGTTAAGGAAATTTAGTGTTCTTATTTATGAGCTGGTAAGCCAAATATCCTATTCTTTGTTGTGTTCTCTATTTACTAGTATTTTTTTCCTATTCCGTTTACTGTTAATGAACCTGTAATTCCGCTTTCTGCCATCTACTTCACTGATTCTGCAACAGATTTATAGCTGCTCTGGTAGCATTTCCGGTTTCGTTTTTTAAAATTAGAGTATTTTGAAGGAACAGGTATAGCCACTGTAGTTCAAGAAATCTCAAAAGTCAGCTACAACAGCGAATTTCAAAAAGCTTGCTTTTCGCTTTTTGCTCAGTCTATAACACGTACAAAAAAAAAAAAGAAAGTAACTGATAACCTTCTCTGTAAAGACAGAGTGTCTACAAAGGCAGTCAAAAGCCGTGTATACAAGAAATTAGACGAGATAGTCGAAAAAAAAAATTGGTTTTTACGATTTAGTGCGCTGAAGTAAAAAACCGCTCTGTTCGCTTGTAAATGTGAATCCTTTGTTTTCCAAAGTTACATTTTCATAGAAAGTCGATATAAATATGAATCTAATGAAACTTCAAGATGGCAAAAAGTTATTTTGTTTATATATGTCTTATTCGAGGCTCAAAAGGAAAGAATGGACTTAGAGCAATTGGGCACTAAAGCCTACATTAAACTGTTATTAAGTAGTCAGACTTGTTTTTTTTTTCGTTCTTGTTCAGATAAATTGTGGTAAAACGTAACACTGTTATAGGAAAAGACTCTAATGCACTTTATGCAGGTTTTTTCACGCTTGCTTAACTATCAGTAAACCGTAGTGTGGTTTACAATGGACACAAATGTAGCTTCTTTGCTGATTATTCAATTTGGAAATGCACAATATTACTGTTTTCAACGAAGATTATGACGCTTCGACAATTTGAAACTTCGCTTTTAACACATATTTCATTTCATTCTCTGTAGAATCCTTTATATTAGATTTGTTCATGCTTCTTTTTATTTCAAGAAAACTACGTCTTTGCCTCCATTATCAAATTAGAATACCCATTATGGCAACACTGAGTACTTTTGTGTTTTTAACATGCCAAGCTTTTTAAGGTTACAGAACGGTATAAGCTTCAAGTGGTTTTTGCTTTGTCTAAGATGTCAGGCTTTTGCAAAACCTTTAAAATTTAAACAAGTTTATTAATCCTCAATACTGTTAAAGTTATCCTGATTAAGATAATAGGACATTTTACAGCTTAGCTACATCTCTGGCAGTCCGCAGTAATGCGTTACTCTTTATCAGAATCCCGCAATTTTAAGCAATTTTTCAACTATTCCAAAGTCACTTATTGAAAAATGAAGATTATTGAAATTTTTCTATTTTGATGAAATATTGTAGCTATAAAAATTTAAATTGAAAAGGGCTAAAGAAAGCAAAAAAATGCTAAGAGCTTATCAGTTGCTTAACAGGCTAACGAAAAAATGTTTTAGGTATGTAAGAGGTAAAATTAATATCGCGCCATGGATAGAACTTAAAGGATATTTTTGAAAACTGAACTTATCTAGTGATTTTTGTGCGAAACATGATGGACATCTTAACAGAAGCACTTGGAATGGCGAATATGTAGTTGTAAATATACAAAGGGAGAATTGGATATTTTTTGCGTGCCTATAAGTGATGAACGTTACCGTCTAAATATTCGTTTTCTAGCAGGAATTGGGAAAAAAAAACATTAATGCAAAGCCTACTAATTCTGCAAAACTCAGTTGATCTTCTGCTTTAATGCAGCGTTTTATTTTTGATCACTGATACTTTAGACGGCTCTATCAGACTTTCAGTTTTATTCTCTTTCTTTGAATGTTACTTCCCTGCTTTAATTATTTCGGGTATGATGAACAAGCCAACAAAGACGACTTCGCAAAACTACTAATGCTCCTGACCACATCACTCAGTAAATAAGAAGTGACTTCATCTACATGAAAGCCTAATTAAAATTTATTGGCGGTTTTTGCCACTTTTGACAATAAACGTACCATTCACCTTTTATTAGAACTAGCCGTATCATCTCTAAGGCTTATCAGTTATTATTTATTCCATATTATTCGTTGTCATCATAAATTTGTCACAAAACTGACTTTAGTTTAATACGCTTTCTGTTTTTTGAAACCAAATGGTATTACAGAATATGTATTTCTTTGACTGGTTTCTCTTTATTTAAAACGTTTATACACCAAAACTTCACTTTCTGTTCGTAAGTGATAGCCGCTTTAAATGTGTAGCTGATTTCTTGGATCAGTGTAGCACCATTTATTGATCTTTTCTGTTAGAAAATGCTGATGGGTCAAAAGTCGGTTTAAATTTTGAAAATAAATATTTGTAAACTAAGTGAGAGTTAAAAGAAGAAACAGCAATTAAGTAAAAAAAAAACCAGTAGACCTTTTCCGCACATTGAAACTTACACATTTCTAAATAAGTTTTAATCCTACCGAAATGTGAACATAAGTTATTTAAGTGGATAAATGTTCGCAGACCATCTTACAGTTATATTATATCGCTTTTTCTTATTACTAAAAACTACTGCATTTCATTTCTGCTACTTATCGGATCAACAAAGCGTAATGAACTTCTCAAATTTACCACATTTGGCTCAAAGTACCCTTTTACAAGTGTTGATTTGAAACATTGTTTTTTTTCAGTGATTTTTCACTGTTACGCAGGCGGTCTGCACAAATTCACAATTTATGTTTTTTTTTATTATAAAACTCATACTGCAAACTCAATTTTTATGTCAGTAAACTCAATTTGATTGAAACTTCACTTAATGGAACGATGACTCTACCCTGCACAATTTCAAGTTGAAAGTATTTAAATCACTCGTTGTGTTACTGTCAGCAATTCTGCACCCCTCCTAACGCTTTTAAAGGTGCAACTTTTTGCTTTCATTCATTATACATTTTAAAGTTTTTTACTTCTCACTGCAAGACTGCTGTTGTCCATATATCGTTTGGATGTTGAAAAAGTTTGTGTACTTTGTGTTTCTTTGCCCCCTACTCTTCTCTCCAGCTCTCCTACATTAAAAAAAGATGCGTTTTTTCCTTCTTTCAAATCCTCTTGTAGTGAAAATCGCTACACGTACTCATGTGTACTTCCTCACCTGTGCGCTTCTTTTTAAAAAAATAAACAGAAATGATATTATGGATGTGAATGTTTCAGAAGAGACTCATAGGCAACTGGATTTTGCTGAGTATTTGTATCATCAAATAAATGGTCGTCAGCCTACTGATGGAAACTTAAGTTCAATTTAAGTTGCATACCAGATTCAGAAGCTTTCCATTTTTGACCGAGCAAGGCTTTGTTTATATATAAAAGTATTAAGTGTGTAAGATAGTTGAAAACGCACTGATGACTTTATGAAGTGCTGGTTTTAAAAATAATGTTTTCACTTAGTAGCATTTTGAACTACTCTGCAAAAAATGACATTAATTCACCGTCTCTGCTGATGGATCAAGAGGGACAAAAGTCTAGAACGGAGCCTAAACTTTAATTGGATATTTTGTTGTATTACTTCATGTTAACAAAGTCAGTAAACAATTCTAGTATGCTTATTCTGATGATTGTATCGTTACAGTTTTATCAGCTGTATAAAAATAACAGGTCAAATTCATTTTGAAGAGAAAAAAATGCATATGATGTTCTGAAAATTTTTCAGCGGTCTGTAAGCAATGAACACAAAATTACTCCAGAACGTTATAGAATTACGAGAAAAGACGGGACCAATTTTCGGTACCTCTGTTTCTGTAGAATTAGTTGAAGAAAAGTTAATCGAATTTTTCGGAACCAAAAGTAAATTTGGAACCAATTTAAGAATGGTTCACATTGGCATTGGACAGGTATATAAACACAGTATTTTAATAACATATTTTCGATATTTTGTAGCTCTGAAAAAGATCTCTAAGAAAAAATGCGCAATGAAGAAGACTGAACGTAAAGGAAGTGTATATAATATTATTCAATAGCAATTTTGAACCTAAAATTAATGGCAGTAACAAATGCTCTTATTAGTAAAAGTTTAATTCAGTGGTTTTCTGCATACGATAGAAAATCTGGAAAAGCTACGGATATGCAATAAAATATAAGTCTTGAAATGACTAGGATTTCAATTTTAAAACTCCTTTTAACAATAAGTTTCGCAAGTTGTTAAACTTCATCGACCATATTACGATGAACTCGTATTCTCAAAAGTTAGTAAATCAAGAATCTAGGGTATGCTTTCTGTTATGGTTCGCATATGGCCAGACTGGACTCCAGCAGACCGGAGCCTTCCAAAAACAGTTATTGCCAAAATATCCAGTTTGGTAACTATCCAAATGGTTATGAAGGACAGCCGCGTTATGGAGGGAATAGACGATTCAGAAAAGGGTATGGAAAAAATGCAACAAGGGATGAAAGTTACTTTGACGGAGGTAAATGAGTCTTATAAAATCTACCTCTGTTATAATTCCGTTTTTTCAGTCTTTTGCCATTGTGAATTATTCAGCTGTTAATTAAACAAAACTGGGTTCCCTTCCAAAACGGTTGTTTCTTTAAGGGTCACAACGCAGAAGTTGATTTCTACAATGCAGTTGAAAAACACAGGTTAGAAATCAAAACACCGAAACTATATTTTGCTCAAAAGTATATAGGAAGTAGTGATCAAGCCTTTATACTGATGGAAGATGTCGGTGAAGAAGCCTTTATCATTCCTTCGTTTGAAAAAATAACAATCGAAAACGCAAAACAGGTTGCATTTTTTTGCACATTTGAAAGATAATGGTTCTGAAATGCTTGAAATATTTCCTCTTCAACCTTCTTCAGGTGCTTCAACAGCTAGCTGTTTTCCACAGCTACTCACTCAAGGAACCAAAATTACTCGAACTAGGAAATATGACTGTAGAAAAATTGAAAAAGTTTTTCTACACTTCTCAGGTGAGACATTTTTCATATCAACAGTGATTCTACTTTGTAATGAAAATTTTCTTTTTTGAAGTCTCCACAGTTATTTTGATTTATCAGTATTTTTGATTACCTTCCCTATCCATATGGGAAACCCTCTGATGAGTTTAAGGTATGAAAGCTACAGACAATTTTTAATGGCTAGAAATTGCAAAGTTTTCCCTATTCTTCATTCTCTTCAAAGACGGCTGAAAAAATGCTTCACATAATTTGCGTCCACTTCAGTACTGCAGGTTTTCCTCGGTTGCATTATGGGATTAAAACAACTTGGCAACGCGAAACTGAATGAGCTATCTGATAAGCTGCTTGAAGAAGCAGACAAAATCACAAACTTAGAAGGCTTTGCAAATGTGAACGAAAAATTTGGTACGTTATACCAAAAAAAAAAAAAAAAAAAAAAAAAAAAAAAAA